GTGACCATTGTGCAGGCCGGCCTGGCGCGCCGGGATCCTCCTTGTGTCTGCGACCGTTCCCCCTGGGGTCTGGGAAACCCTCAGTTCCTTCTTCATGAGCCATCGGGGCGCTTGTTTAGTGTGCTCAGAGATGGGTCCTGGAGTGTGTTGGGGTGGCAGCAATTAAGGAAAAACTGGTAAACTGAGGCACACTGCTTGTTTTGGTGGAGTGGAAGTCGAATGTGAGTTGCCAGCGTGTGGGGATTGGCCAGCACAGGGGAGAGATTTACCAGACTTGGCCACTGGCTGCTTGTGATGGTCCAGGAGGAGACACGACCCCCCGAGTCTCCCAGCTGTGGGGCCTCCCAGCTGTGGGGCCTCCCAGCCGTGGGGCGTCTCAGCTGAGCGCTAATGAATGTTTTCTCAGTCACAGTCCCTGTGGGGCTAATTAAGGCCGGCTCTGCCGCCCCCGGGGCCTGGTTGCTGGGGTTCATCTTCACACAGGGGCGGCCGTTCCTCTGCAGATGCCGGGGGCAGGCGGGTGCCAGGCGTCCGTGTCTGAGGTGAGGTCTGGGGTCAGGGTGTGTCGGCGCACGGCAGGGGACAGGCTGGGATGGCAATACCGGCTGGAGGGGGCATGTAGGGGCAGGGCCGGGCACAGGTTTGGCTCTAGGTTTGGCTCCGAGCTGTTCCAGACGACTGCTCCCCTTTCGGGAAGCTGGTTTGTTTTGCTTCCTCATCCCCTGCCTCAAGTTTCACCTCCCTTCACAGCGAGGTGCTGAGGAAATCCCACGGACGGTCGGGGGGTGTCTCACACGCGGTGACCGACGTTCTCGTTTTTACCAGACCATTATAAAAGGACCCGTTTGGAATGTGACTGTCACACTTGCCTGTCGGTGCCTGGGACATAGAGCAGCAGAAACACGCCCCTGTCGGTGTGAAATGCCAGGCTGGGCCGACTCCCCCAGCGCTTTGTACGGAGCCTGTTGTAAGGGGAGGCAAATATCTCACCTGGGTGGAAATTTCTGATTTGTGCAGGTGGAAAGTTGTTGAGGGAAAGGTTGGGTTAAAGGAGGCAAAATTCCCTCAGTTGGAACCGGAAGATTTCCCATGAAAAACGTGTGAGTGTTTGTGTGAATTGATGGGGGAGGGGGTTGGGTTGGCATGGCATCTCCAATTCTGAATCCATTCTTGACCGGAGAAAGGGCCATAGGTGTAAGAACATGCAAAAGCAGGTGGGGGGGTCTGTCCCTCCATGGAATTTCTTCCTGACGTAGCAAGAAGTTTTGCAACATCTGGAAGCATGAGATTTAATATCCCTCCCACAACTATATGTTAGTTTGAGTGATTCTAACGCTGGATATTCCGCGTCTCCAATTCTGAATCCATTCTTGACCGGAGAAAGGGCCATAGGTGTAAGAACATGCAAAAGCAGGTGGGGGGGTCTGTCCCTCCATGGAATTTCTTCCTGACGTAGCAAGAAGTTTTGCAACATCTGGAAGCATGAGATTTAATATCCCTCCCACAACTATATGTTAGTTTGAGTGATTCTAACGCTGGATATTCCGCGTAGCTTTGGAAATCTCCAGTCCCTTGTTTAATCTTGATAAGTTTTAACCTGGACACCGTCCTGTGGCAATGAGTTCCCCTGTTCCTGAGTGCGAGACTATGTCTTTGGTCCATTTTTGAACGTCCCACTGTAATTTCATGGGCTGCACCGAGTAACAGCATGGACAGAATCCCTCAAGCTCTTTTCTCTGTTCCATTTTGATCACATCCTACTCCCTCTTATGTGTTATACACCACTCCTCTCTCTCCTCTCTGCACAGGAGTTTTCTGGAGTCGGACGTGCTCCTGAGCTTCTGCTCAGGCCCCATTTCCCGTGTGGCATTGGGGAGGGGCAGGGCTACAGGCAGGATCCAGAGAAAGACAAAGGACTGTAAGCGTGTTTACAAATTGGAGCCAAGTCCCCTCTTCACCTTCCCTTCCATGAACTGAGTAAGCTGAACCCCACTGGCCTCTTAGGTGGGTTTTCCAGACGTCCTGCATCCTGCTGTCACAGCCGCTGTGTCTAGCTGCCACTTCCAGCCACTGGCTCGGGTCAGACCCTTCTCTGCTAGACCCAGGAGCCGCCGAGCAATTTGTTCCCCAATCAGTCCCTATAGCCTAGGACCGAGTGGCCCTTTCGCCTTCTTCTTGTTCCATTAACTAGCGAGAGCTCCTGGCATCTCTCCCGATCAGGCAGGTTTTCCGGTCCTGCAGGTATTGCCGGGGCTCTGCTCTGAGCCCTCTTCACTTCACCAACCCCCTCCCCGATGCCGGTTTGGCTGTTTCCTAAGGGGATGGTTATTTCAGAACCTCCCTCCTGTCTCGCCTTGGACTCCATTTCCTCCCTGCATGGGCCTAGTTATTAATAACCTGCATTTCCCTTGGCGTGCCTGTGACTTTTGGAGTTCAGTATGATGAGTGACTAGAATCCAGTGTCTTGCTTCAGGGATTCAGTTGGGCATCTGCAGTGGTCAGGAAGGAATATAAGACTCCTTCGGTTCGGTCTAGGTGAAGTTACCATTAGGCGGGTGTCTAAGTGGTGAAAAGACCATCCTCAAAGGGAAACAAGAAGACGTTTTATAAATACATTAGAAGCAAGAGGAAGACCAAGGACAGGGTAGGCCCACTGGTCAGTGAGGAGGGAGAAACAGTAACAGGAAACTTGGAAATGGCAGAGATGCTCAATGACTTCTTTGTTTCGGTCTTCACCGAGAAGTCTGAAGGAATGCCTAACTTAGTGAATGCTAGTGGGAAGGGGGTAATTTTAGAAGGTAAAATAAAAAAAGAACAAGTTAAAAATCACCTAGAAAAGTTAGATGCCTGCAAGTCACCAGGGCCTGATGAAATGCATCCTAGAATACTCAAGGAGCTGATAGAGGAGTTATCTGAGCCTCTAGCTATCATCTTTGGAAAATCATGGGACACGGGAGAGATTCCAGAGGACTGGAAAAGGGCAAATCTAGTGCCCATCTATAAAAAGGGAAACAAGAACAACCCAGGAAACTACAGACCAGTCAGTTTAACTTCTGTGCCAGGGAAGATAATGGAGCAAGTAATTAAGGAAATCATCTGTAAACACTTGGAAAGTGGCAAGGTGATCGGGAACAGCCAGCATGGATTTGTAAAGAACAAATCATGTCAAACCAATCTGATAGCTTTCTTGGATAGGATAATGAGTCTTGTGGATAAGGGAGAAGCAGTGAATGTGGTATACCTAGACTTTAGTAAGGTGTTTGATACGGTCTCGCATGATATTCTTACTCAGGGAGTAGTTATTAATGGTTCACAATCCTGCTGGAAAGGTATAACAAGTGGGGTTCTGCAGGGGTCTGTTTTGGGACTGGCTCTGTTCAATATCTTCATCAACGATTTAGATATTGGTATAGAGAGGACGCTTATTAAGTTTGCAGATGATACCAAGCTGGGAGGGGTTGCGACTAATCTGGAGGACAGGGTCATAATTCAAAATGACCTGGACAAATTGGAGAAATGGTCTGAGATAAATAGGATGAAGTTTAATAAAGAGAAATGCAAAGTGCTCCACTTAGGAAGGAACAATCAGTTTCACACATACAGAATGGGAAGCGACGGTCTGGGAAGGAGTACAGCAGAAAGGGATCTAGGGGTTATAGTGGACCACAAGTTAAATATGAGTCAGCAGAGTGATGCTGTTGCAAAGAAAGGAAACATGATTCTGGGCTGTATTAACAGGTGTGTTGTGAGCAAGACACGAGAAGTCATTCTTCCGCTCTGCTCTGCGCTGGTTAGGCCTCAGTTGGAGTTTTGTGTCCAGTTCTGGGCACCGCATTTCTAGAAAGATGTGGAGAAATTGGGGAGGGTCCAGAGAAGAGCAACGAGAATGATTAAAGGTCTAGAGAACATGACCTATGAGGGAAGGCTGAAGGAATTGGGTTTGTTTAGTTCAGAAAAGAGAAGATTGAGGGGGAACATGAGAGCTGTTTTCAGGTATCTAAAAGGGTGTCATAAGGAGGAGGGGAAAACTTGTTCATCTTGGCCTCTGAGGATAGAACAAGAAGCAATGGGCTTCAACTGCAGCAAGGGAGGTTTAGGTTGGACATTAGGAAAAAGTTCCTAACTGTCAGGGTGGGCAAACACTGGAATAAATTGCCCAGGGAGGTTGTGGAATCCCCATCTCTGGAGATATTTAAGAGCAGGTTAGATAAATGTCTATCAGGGATGGTCTAGCCAGTATTTGGTCCTGCCATGAGGGCGGGGGGCTGGACTCGATGACTCTCGAGGTCCCTTCCAGTCCTAGGATTCTATGATTCTATGATTCAAAGAGTAGTGACCATGCTGAGTGTGAATGGGAGCCAGCAAAGTGAAGCAGCTCTGACCATCCTGTGCTACCAGTCTGGGGCGGGAACCGGAGCGTCTTGGGGGCTGACATGAGAGGAGGGTGTCCCGCTTTGCTTGGCGCTGGTGAGCTCTCGTCCGGAGCTCTGTGGCCAGTTCTGGGTCATACACGTTAGAGAAGCTGTGGGAAAATTGGAGAGAGTCCAGGCAGAGCATCAAACGGGGAAAGGGTTAGAAACTCTGCCCTAGCAGGGAAGGGGAGACAAACGGGGCCTTGACAAAAGAAGAGAAAGTGGGAAACCCAAGAACAGGCTTCAAGGAGGCCGAGGCTGCTGTCTGGCCAGGGCCAGCGTGTCCATCAGGCAGGCAGAGGAACACGGAGCCTAGAGTCTGTGACTCACAGCAAGACACGGTCAGAGCAGAGGGACGCTGCCTGTGTTTACAGTGATAGTCCATGCCCTTGAGCGGAACTGAGCCAGGGTTGGGTTGTCGTCTTCACTGCAGGACAGTTTAAATCAAAATTGAGGTGCTAAACTCTTGCCCAAAGAGGGCCAAAGGGGGCTTGGCTCCCAACGAGCCACTGGCGTAATTTATCAGCGTGTCCCTTCCCTGCCAAATCCCTTCTCCTCCCCACTCAGGTGCTGCCGCTGACCCTCGCCATGGCTGAGGCCAACTGGACGTCCGTCTCCGAGTTCGTTCTCCTGGGTCTGTCCGAACGCCAGGACATGCAGCCGCTGATCATCGCAGTCCTCCTTGGCACCTATCTGGTGAATCTGGCTGGCAACTCCATGCTTGTGGGGTTGGTGTGGACTGACCCCCAGCTCCGCAGCCCCATGTATTTCCTCCTCAGCCAGCTGTCCATGGTGGACATGGGCATGGTCTCCATCATCCTGCCCCAGGCCTTGGTGCACACCTTGAGTCAGCACTGGGCCATCCCCTTCACCAGCTGCATGGCCCAACTCTTCATCCTCCTGGCCGTGGGCAACATGGAGAACTACCTGCTGGCTGCCATGGCCTACGACCGCTACGTGGCCGTCTGCAACCCACTGCGCTACGCCGCCATGGTGACGCGGTCCCTGTGCCTCAAGATGGCGGCTGCCTTCTGGGTCGTGGTGATCTCGCACGCCCTGCTGCACACCGTCATGACCGCCCGGCTGCGTTACTGTGGCAACCGCCTGCAGCATTTCTTCTGTCATTTGGAGGGCTACCTGCTGGCTGCCATGGCCTACGACCGCTACTTGGCCGTCTGCGACCCGCTGCGCTACGCCACCGTGGTGACACTGTCCCTGTGCCTTAAGATGGCGGCTGCTTCATTGGCCGTGGTGATCCCGCATGGCCTGCTGCACACCATCATGGCTGCCCAGCTGCGTTACTGCGGCAACCGCCTGCAGCATTTCTTGTGTCACATGCAATCTCTGATGAGTCTCTCCTGCACCCGGCCCGTTACTAAGGAGCTGGTGGTCTCCACCGAGGGAGTCTTGGTGGTGGGAGCCCCTTTCGCCTTCATCCTGGCCTCCTACACCCGCATCGGGGTGGCCGTGGCCCGCCTGCGCTCTGTCCAAGCCCTGCGCAAGGCCCTCTCCACCTGCGGCTCCCACCTGACCGTGGTGTTTCTCACGTACAGCCTCATGCTCTGGCTCTACTTCCACCCGGACTCCATCAAAATCCAGGGGCACGACCAGCAAGTGACCTTCTTATACACCGCGGTGGTGCCCACCCTGAACCCCCTCATCTACAGCCTAAGGAACAAGGACGTGGCCGCGGCCCTGAGGAGGGCAAAGAGGAAGGTCCTATGTTGAGGCAAATCAGACCAGCCTGTGGCTCCATGTCTGAACTGGGCATAGCCTTTCCACCCAAGATGTGTCTGGGAAACCTTCCCCCTTACCTCCTCCAGGACACCTGTGTTCTTTCCCCTTCCGACATGAGGCTGGTGAACCGAACAGATGTGTAGAGCAGTGGTTCTCCTACTTTTTGGCCCATGGTCCAGCCTGCTCAATGCAAACGTTTCCGTGGACCACCAGTTCTTACGGGAAACTCGCCGTTAATTACATAATGACACCCAAGCCATTTTGGTTTCATTGAACCAATCAGAAATTATTAATCAGGTTAAGCGCTTCCGCTTTTCTCATGTTGGTTTTCCAAAGTTCATTTTAAATGAAATAAAATATTTATTTACGTCCAACACAAAAGGTTATGGCCGGAGTGGGGCATCTTTTTTGGGTCAGAAGTCACTGATCTACAGAAAAATCAGTTGAGGGCCATACCTGTGAGACGCAATCCCCCCCAAAAACCCAACTCTCATAGATGTGGTCCCCAGCTGAGACACCTCCTGCCCCTGGTGCTCCAACCCCATGGGGGGGAGGGGGAGAAGGGAAGGGTAGGGAGGACTGAGTTTCAGGGCTTCCCATGGGCCAGATTAACTCTTCTGGGGTTCCAGGGTTAGTAGATTTTGTTGACCCCCTTGGTTGTGGAGTGGGGACTAAAATGAGGGGTTTAGTGTGCAGGCCAGGTCTGCCAATGAGCGGGCTAGATGCACGATCTGGGTGGGAGGTGGGGTGCAAAAGCAGACTGGGGATAGGTGTCTAGCCATGGGGGAGGGTGCAGGAGGAGGCTAGGGGTGCAGTCTTGGCAGGGGGAGCTTAAGAAGTGTGCAGGGGGTGGGGCATGAGGGGAACGGAGAGGGGCCTTCCCAATTTCACAGTGATCCTCCTTGAGCGTGGTCTGTCTGTTATGCTTAAAAGAAGCACTCGGAATCTTTTTCAGGGGGATAAGGCAACACGTCTCGTTTCTTGATAATATAACCAAGTAGCATGTGCATTTACACACAGACACACACCCGGCTGATGGAATACTAACTAGTCTGTTGCTTGGCCCCAACTATTGGCCAGATAGGTCGAGTGCGAGGAAGGAGCTGGGTTCTTGTCAGTCCAGAGTGATGCTTCACTTGGCAGGACGAGACACCCCAACTTTTATAGGATTTTCCTTCCATGCAGGTCTAGGCATTTTGCCTTGTCAGGCCTTGATCAGTCACTCAGCATCACAATCAATCTTCCTATGAAATGTGCTTATTGGAAATAAGTTGTTCTCACAGTCATTTGATATCCGTATGCTGATGACCCCTTGGGGTGTTGTCTTGCCGGCAAAAGTTGTTATCGGTTCCTTATCAAGGGGTGCTTGCCACTAACTTCAGGGTTCGTCAGTCTGCCCTGGCAGTCTGCGTCTTCAGTGTGCTTTCACTTAGTTGATAATTATTTGGTGCTTCTGAGTCTCCAGCCCCTCCTCTGACCTTTTGAGCATGCAGTGGCCTTCGCACTTCTCTCTCCTAAAATATTCTTTCTCTCATTCACACAAACAATACATCTACAGAATTGCAGCATGAAACACAAGGGTACTCCTAGTCACTTTAACAAAGTTACAAAGTCTTTCAACATTAAACTTCTTTCTATCTACCACAAGGTGTTGCCTAACATTAACATCACCATGCATGACAATATTCCATCCCTTCACTTTCACATCAGAACGTGCTAAGATCAAAGGGTATGTCTACACTAGCTCCCCGAGTTCAAACTAGGGAGGCTAATGAAGGCATTCGAAACAGCCTACATTTGACCAGAGCCGAGTTTCACACGAACCCCTTGGTCCATGGGGCTGGGAGAGCTGAGCCGCCGGCCGGCAGCTCGTCCTGCTCTCGCCTTGGGGAGAGTTTCGAGATGATTCATCGATTTTCGTGGGACCCCCCCGTGCCACACGGGCAGAGAACGGCCCTGAGGGGCGGATCCCCTGGAGCCGCAGCCCAGCTTGAGTGAAAAATTGCCAGGGATGGAAAATGCCCCACAACCCTGGGGTAGTTGTCCCCGTGGGTCATTCCCCTCCGTGCTCAAAATGGCCGCCCTACGTCCCGCCTGGACTTGGGCACCCTGTGGCCTGCAGGCTGCACGTGGCCCGTCAGGGCTCCATGGGTGGCCGGTGTTTACTGTTCCCCGTGTGCTGGGCTGCCAGATTCCGCTGGTTTCGCTGCACGTAGGTTTTTTTCCTTCTGGGGTTACTAAAGTGACCCGCACTCAAAGCCTGGGCACGTAACGGCAGGCGGGGGCTGATCGCACACAACACTGGGAGAGCCGGGCCCTCCCTCTGCAGCCAATCACAGCGCTGCCACGGTTCAATGTAGACTGAAGAGATTCAGCATGGGACTTGAAATTGTAACCCCTGGCCTGCCCCTGCAGGGTACATGTTCCTGCTCGTGGCCTGGAGCGAGGGGCTGGAGACCAGAGGTCCGTCTCGGGAGGGGGAGGCCGTGGGGCCCTGAAGGACGAGGGGGTCCCGCTCCGGGTGGGAAGCTCACAGCTTGTCAAGACACATGGGCAGGGTGAGCCGGCCGGGCAGGTCGCCCCAGGGCGGGGGCGATGGGTGACCAGGGACAGCTGGGAGGGGAAATGAGTCTCTGGGGCATTGCACCGCGCAGAGTCCTTCCGATCGGACAATGGGAACCCGTCGCAGGCCAGTGACTGCATGCGCTGGCCGGGCCACGAGACCCCGGATCCGGCTGTTTGCCCTGCCGGGGAAGAGGGAACCTGGCTTCCTTAGCTCGGGCAGTGACCATTGCGCAGGCCGGCCTGGCGCGCCGGGATCCTCCTTGTGTCTGCGACCGTTCCCCCTTGGGGCCTGGGAAACCCTCAGTTCTTACTTCATCAGCCATCAGTGCTCTGCATAGGGTCTCTCATAGATGGGGTCCTGGAGTGAGTGGGGGTGATTAAGGGAAAACTGGTAAACTGAGGCACACTGCAACTTTTGGAGGAGTGGAAGTGGAATGTGTGTGAGTTGCCAGCAGGGTCCTGGACTGTGTTAGGGGTGGGAAAACTGGTAAACTGAGGCACACTGCCCCTTTCAGGGCCAAGGAAGTGCAATGCCTGTGAGTTGCCAGCATGTGGAGATTGGCCAGCACAGGGGAGAGATTTAGCAGACTTGGTGACCAGCTGCTTATCATGGTCCAGGAGGAGACACGATGACGGGAGCCCATGGACCTCAGAGACCCCCCGCGCCTCCCAGCCGTGGGGCATCTCAGCTGAGCGCTAATGAATGTTTTCTCAGTCACAGTCCCTGTGGGGCTAATTAAGGCCGGCTCTGCCGCCCCCGGGGCCTGGTTGCTGGGGTTCATCTTCACGCAGGAGCTGCCGTTCCTCTGCAGATACCAGGGGCAGGCGGGTGCTGGGCGTCCCTGTCCGAGGTGAGGCCGGGGGTCAGGGTGTGTCGGAGGCACGGTAGGGGAGAGGCCGGGATGGCAATGCCGGCTGGAGTGGGGAGTATGTAGAGGCAGGGACGGGGACGGATTTGGGATCAGGACAGCAGAGAAAATCCCCACGTCTTCAGTGCTCTTCTGTCCCTCTGGTGTCTGGCTCCGAACAGAAAGATGTTTCCCACTCTCAATCACCTCTGGTAGTCACCCAGCCCTGCCCTTCCATCTGCAGCCTCATATGTCAGCCTGTCTGGCCAGGTGCATTGACAGTGTCCGGAGAAAGATCCCGCACACTGGTGGGTCCCCGCTCAGACCAAATTCTGAGCAGGAGGCTCTCCGCACACCCAGCGTCTGTCTCCCTTGTCACCTACCTCAGGAGCATCAATTTCCGGAGGAGACCAGTTCTCCCTGGCGTCTGTATTGAACTCAGGCGAATTCTCCATGGGCCCCTTCTCATTCCCTGAAAGGTTCTGTGTTACTGGGGCCTGGACTGACAGGGAACGTTTCTAAGGGGGCAGGAAGGTTGGGACGTGTTATGGCCGGAAGTGAAGCCAGGTAAAGTCAGCCTGGAAACAAAGTCATAAATTTGTGGACATGAATCTAATTAGCGACGGGCACAATCTGCCAACGGGCGCGGTGAATTCGCCACCCCTGACGTTTCTCAGCCAAGACGGGGCATCTGTGGAAAGAGCCGCGCTAAAGATGAAATGAGGGGAGAGCTCTAGGTTTGGCTCCCCGCCGTTCCAGACGACCGCTCCCCTTTTGAGAGCCTGGTTTGTTTTGCTTCCTTGTCCCCTGCCCCAAGTTTCATCTCCCTTCCCAGCGAGGTGCTGAGGAAATCCCACGGACGGTCCGGGGGGCGTCTCACACGCGGTGACCGACGTTCTCGTTTTTACCAGACAATTATAAAAGGACCCGTTTAGAATGTGACTGTCGCACTCGCCTGTCGGTGCCTGGGACGCAGAGCAGCAGAAACACGCCCCTGTCAGTGTAAGATGCCAGGCTGGGCCGACTCCCCCAGCGCTTTGTACAGAGCCTGTTGTAAGGGGAGGCAAATAGCCCATCTGGGTGGAAATTTCTGATTTGTGCAGGTGGAAATTTGTTGAGGGAAAGGTTGGGTTAAAGGAGGCAAAATTCCCTCAGTTGGAACCAGAAGATTCCCCATGAACGACGTGTGAGTGTTTGAATGAATTGATCGGGGGGGATCTAGTGTAGAAATGGCCAGAATGGACCAGTCCCTCCGATTTAGAATCTGTTCTTGACCTGAGAAAGTGCCATAGGTGTAAAAGCCTGCAGATGCAGGTGGGGCTCTGCCCCTCCATGGAATTCCTTCCTGACCCATAGCAGGGAGAGGTTTTGCTACATCCCGAAGTGTGAGGTTTACTATCCCTCCCACACCTGTTAGTTTGAGTGATTCTAAGTCTGGATATTCCTTGTAGCTTTGGAAATGTCCAGTCCCTCGTTTAATTTTGATAAGTTTTAGCTTTGACACCATCCTGTGGCAATGAGTTCCCCGGTTCCTGAGTGCATGACAGTGTTTTTGGTCCATTTTTGAATGGCCCACTC